ATAGCATGTTGTATTAAACTTATGCGTGCTGTACGATCGGGGGGGTTCCATGAGGCTCGGAAGGCTATTCGTGGTTGCAGTTCCCTTCCTTTTTTTTTGTTCCCCTTCTTTTTCGATTCTGAGTCATGTGCGTGGGCGGGTCGCCAAGCTTTGGACCTGCGCCTCGCTGCTCGCATGCGTGGGCTTTTCGAGCGGCGTGAAGTTGCTCTCCAGGAAGAGGTTGCAGTGTCTGCCGCGGGCGCTGCTGGCCAGAAGCGTGCTGCTGCTATCCAGCGAGTGCGGCCTATGTCCCGAGCTCGGGGAGCCGCTGGTTGTTGTATCGCCATGATGCAGGTCCCCAGTCCCAGTGGCCAGCACTTCGATGACGGTGACGGATGCGCCAGACTACTTGCCGAACACTGGGGAGAAGTGTTCAAGTATGCCGCCGCTCTTTTTTCCAGGTATTAAAGCTGCGTGTCAGGATATTGACCCCGTCCCCAGCAACCCCGAGGAGCCTGTTGTTCAAGATGGCTCTCGGTATCCCTGGATCGTTCCAGAGGCCAAGTTCCAGAGCGTCCTTGCGTGGACAACGGGCGCGTCTCCAGGGCCCGATGGGGTCCCATGCGACGCGTGGAAAGGTGCTGGTGGCACTGGTCAGGGCATTCTATTCCGTCTGTGCGAGCGCCTGATGAGCGCGGGCCAGTTGCCAGATGACTTCAAAGTGTCTCGTGGCGCCTTCTTGCCGAAGGAGTGCCTCGGTGGGGCCGACCCCCAGGCCCGCGCGCCCGCCTGCGCGAGACCTTTGGCATTGAGCGACACCGGCAACGAGGTTGCCATCAGCTGCGTCGATTTCTCCCTTAACAAGGTAGCGGAGGACACTGCGGAGAAGTGGCAAAAGTGGCTCGTGAAAGGCCGTCAGCAGTTGTCAGAGGACCTGCTCTCGATCGATGCTGCGACGTTGCGAATGGCGATAATGGGTATCAGTGCGAAGTTTGGCGCAGCCCTCTTCGACGTATAAGCGGCGCCCCCCAGTGTCCTCCGCGATTTTATCTTGGTGGCGCTCCAGCGTTTAAACCTTCCTCGACGTGTTCGACGTGCCATCCGCCCCCTCTACTCCAATATGAGAATGAGTATGTCCATCCATGGGTGTGAGCCCATCTATATATTTGTGGAAGGAGGCGTTAAGGAAGGGTGTCCGATTTCGGGCCTTTTTTTCGGGGGGGGGGCGAGGTGGGATCTGCGTCGACCCTATACCAGAAGCGTATCCGGCTGAGGTGTTCGGGGATTCCGATCGTCTTGGGGGCCTTCGCGGATGACATCGGTGTCGCGTGCCAGGACCTCCTCATCGCCCTTCCACGTGTCCTCGGCGTTCTTGCGTGTGCTGGGCGCTTTGCTGGTCTTGTCCTGAATAGAAGCAAGTGCGTGCTCGTGATCCCGAGCCCCGGCTCCCGCGTGTCTGTCGTTCAAGAGTTTCTGGAGTAGGGGGTCGACGTTTCCGAGTTTGCGGTCTTGGCCACCAGTGTGTATCTTGGGATTCACATTGGTATCGGGGGCCGCAGATGCGTCGTGGGGGCAGGTGATGAACGCGCTCTGTAAAAGGGTCCTCCAGGTCACGCAGCTTGGAGGGGGCTTGTCATGCAGCATCGCCGCTTAGAACATGCTTGGCCTTCCTGTCCTCAGTCACGTTGCGCATATGTGGGAACCGCCGAAGTGGGTTGCTCTTGCGGGAAAAACTGTCTCCAGAGGTTGACCAACTCCCCGCGTTTCAGCTTCCCTCCAGAGAGTCTCTTCCAGTTGAAGGAGCTGGGGCACAATGTGCAGGCTCGTCGTCTCCATATTGTCGCCCGTGCCTCGCTGCTCCGGGCCGCTTTCAATGGCCCTCGGTTTCGTGTCCTGAAGCAAGAGCTGACCAGCCCCGCAGAGAGCGACGAAGCTTGCGTTGCGTGGCGGTGGAGCCCGTGCGCCAAGCGCAGCTTCTTCCTGAGGATGTGGAACCTGTATGACGAAATTGCCAGGGTGCACCGCCCGATCACCTGCCAGTGGAAACAAGCGCAGGCCACCATCACAAAGATGCTTTACCAGGACCTTAGAATGACCCTCACCCCCACCCTTGAACTTTTGGCCCCGCGGCTCCAAAAATGGTTGCCCTGTGCGTCTCCTGGGGGTGCGGTTCTGATTTTTGTCAGGATTAATGTTGCCCCAAATTCATTTCTTCCCATCTATGTGATATCCGCGTGCCTCGAGAGCTTATTTAACAGCTGGGATGCTACCCGCCGATATCGCCAGGGAGCCCAAGTGTGTGATTTTTCTTGTTGTGTGATTGCGGGTGATGACCTTAGACGCTATGCAGTCTGTCCCGTCCTGCGAGAAGCGGCCAAACAAGTTCTGCCCAGGCTTCCTCGAGATTATGGAGAGACGGACTTGGCCACCTTCCTTTCTTACCTCTTCTCTTCGGAATCTCGTGAATGCTTACTGTTCCAGTTCCTGGCCATTGATCTGATGCATAACACGTTGCAGATTTTCCGTGCCAGTAATCATATATGCTTCACCTCCGAGCACACCCTTTGCCTTTTCGGAACCAGGCTGAGGGTTGGAGCTAAGAGGAGCTCAAATGTCCAGAGGCTGTCTCGGGGTCCCGGTCTTGTGGAGGTCTCCGCTCTCGCCCTTCTCTTTTTCCTTTTTTTGTCCTTTATTGTAGTTTCTGTCTTCCCCGTGCACGGTTGAGTCCGTGCCGCTCTTCAGTCAACCCGCCACCTGTCCGACAGTGCAGGTTTGTTCGCCCAGGTCGCCCGTGCGCCACTGGCGATTGCCTCGTCGGCTTCACGTCGAAGTGCGTGCAGCTGCAGGCACACCAGGGAAGGACCTGGGACATTCCCCCGCCGTCGCCGCTGCCGTCGCCTGACTCTTTGCCCTCGTCTCGACCCTCGCTTGTCCGCCTGCCCCCTTCTCGTCCCTTTCTGGCGGGTGCAACTCTTCCTCCTCCTCCTCCTCCTCCTCCTCCTCGTCCTCCTCCTCCTCCTCCTCTTCCTCCCCCCCCCCTCCATCCCATCTTGGGGGGGGGGCGAGGGCCTTGGGGCCCATCCCATCTGGGGGGGAGGGGGGGCCCGCGGGCCTGGGGCCCTCGATCGTATATACATTTATGTTCCACGTTTGAATATATTCCCCAAGCAGAGCTTGCCACTGTAGGGGTCCTTGCGGAATCATATGTTTGGGTGAGGGATGACGCCGATGTCGGCGGCGCGCCCGGGTGCCCGGGTGCCGACGTGTTCGGGTGCCTGGCAGTTTTATAGCTTTATAGCCCTATAACCTTATAGCCCTATAGCGCTATAGCCCTATATTGTCCTATGGCCCTATAGCCCTATAACCCTAATCGCTCTATAACCGTATAGCCCTGTAGCCCTATAGCCCCGTAGCCCTCGCCGCCCTATCGCCCTGCAGCCCTAATCGCCCTGTAGCCCTATAGCCTTAAAACCCAATAGCCCAAGAGCCCATATAACCTTATAAACCTATAGCTCTATAGCCCTATAGCTCTATAGGCCTATAGCCCTATAGCCCTATAGGCCCCAAACCCCATAACCCTATAGCCCCATGGCCCAAAAACCCTATAGCCCGATAGCCCTATGCCCCCCAGAACCCTATAGTCTTAAAAAACTTATGAGTGGTTTTTCTTCGGTATCATTTGTTGTTCATATTTGCATGCAAACCGTGTCAGCACTTGTTGGTTTCCGTTTTAAACGGCAGCTTGCTTTTAACTTGAACCGAGTTTTGGTTAGTCGGTTCATGACGATTAAGTTCTGTATAACTTGAGTGGCATATGTCTTTACACGGCTACTCAATTGTGGGATTTGGGGTTCGTATGATACCTTATTGCGGGCGAGGAGGTCGCGGAATCTTTCCGTGATATCACTTAGTGGATCTTCCCAGGGGATCGCAGTGAGGGTTGCCTATGTTCATGCGAGCCCGCGTCCTCCAATGTACTTGGAATCCTGTGGGTTTCCTTAGAGTTTCCGTTGGGACCTACCTCGGGACGAAATTGATTCTTCATTTATGGTTATTTTTACGTGCTCGCGGTATCAGAGGGATGGCGCCGCAAAACATACTTTTGTATTGTGTTTGGTGCTAACTATATCGCTGGGGGGCAGCCTTTGGTTTTTAGGGTTAACCTAACGAAGTGCCCGTCTTAGATTTTACATCTGCGTGGAGGGCGGGGGTGGCCGAGCGGTGCGAGCGAGGGGTGTGCCGAAGTGATGCGGGGACCGCATGCGTCCAGCCCGGCTGAGGCCGTAGGTGGAGCTCCCTGCAGGGCCGAATAGCGGCGCCCGCCACCACAGGCGGGACCAGGATTTGCCTTCGGGGTGGTGGTTTTCGGATTGAGACCCCCCACCACCACAGGCGGGACCCCTCCGGGATCCCTGCTGGCGTTTTCCCCCCGGGACCCGCCAGGACCCCAGCTGGCAGGGCGGGGGGACAGGGGGGGGAGAAGCGGGAGGAGAGGGGCCTTGAGTTCCCCTTGTCCAAAAGGGGACCCCTCTGGGACCCCCCCCCGCACCCCCCCGCCACCGTCAGGGAGTGGAAAAAAGGGATGGAATCGACTTGACTACGACGTTTCTTTTCTCAGTTTGTTATTCAATTTGTTGGGATTGTCGACGACGATGACGACGGCGACGACGACGACGACAGCGTCTCTCACATGTCGAAAGGTCGGCGGATTCGCCTTTCACAGGTGGGTGTCGCCGCCAGCTCTCCTGTGCCGCCAGTCCTCGCTTGCCAGCGCTCTATGAAGATCTCAATGCCCAGGCGATGGAAACAACAATGCAGCTTTCGTGCTTAGTTCATCTGCTTGAAGATTCCGACTCCTCCGTGAGTGCTATGGCGGTGTTGCACCTCGTGAGTTTCATTACTAGACGGCCTCATGTGAATATGCTCACTCTGCAGCTTCGGGGGATACAGTGTTTCTGGCTTGGTCGTTTCCGTTTGCCGCCGTCATTCTGATTGCGATGCCCGCGCGCCCCAACGCGGAGGTGGCATCCACTGTACCCTCCAAGACGAGAGGACCTTCCGAAGGACGGACGCGAGCGCTCCGAAGGGCTTCACCGAGAGGCTCCAGGTGACCATGATACTCTCCCCCCCTAGCGCTCCCCCTCCCCCGCCACCTCCCCCCCTTACCCCTCCCGCTCCCCCTCCCCCCCTCCCCCCCGTCTCTCCCTTCGGAGCTGGCTCGAAGGGACGTGGGCGTTCTTGGGCGCAGCCCTTCTCGTCATCACCCTCCAGAGTTCCCTCCCGGGCAGCACCGCAGGGCCCGCCCCAGTTGCGGCCCACTCAGTGTGGCATTTCTCCAAGTCCCTCGCAGCTCAGCCTGGCGCGCCCTGGCCGTGACCTCGCCTGGTACGGGCGCCGCTGCCGCCCGCACCGGGCGGCTCTTCGCGCAGCTCTGGGCGCACCGTCCTCGTCTTCGCCGCCAAGGCTCCCGCCGTGAGGGTGCTGGCCATATCCGCCTCACCCTGCGGGGCCCACGTCTGCCCCCCCCCCCCCCCAGGCACGACGACGACGACGAAGACGACGGCGGCGGCGGCGGCGGCATCCGCTGGCAGCGCCACCGCTGCGGCGGCGGCGGCGAACGACGCTGCCGCCTTCGCGGCCGACCATGGGTGCCGTCCGTTTGGTTCCCTCGGGTTGGTGCCCTGTGGTTTGCGCCTCGTGGCTAGTGCTCTATGGTTGGTACCCTGTGGTTGGTGCCCTACAGTTGGTACCGGCTGGTGCCTCGTGGTGTCCGATTGTCGGTGACCTATGGTTGACGTGCGGCCCCCACCTCTGCGCGCAGCACTGCGGGCGCCGCGGCGGCAGGCCCCCCCCTGGCATGGGCCGTGCCCTTGCACGGCCACGCCGAGCATGCAGCTGCCTCGCCCTGCCGTCGTAGCGATCCCTGCGCTCGTCCGGGTGCCCCCGCCCAGCTTTCTGGGCCAGACCCTGGATCCGGGGCGCGAGCTAAACGGTGCTTTGGCGATTCCGTAGGCCGTTTTTTGTTGTTGTGACCCCGCTCTGCAACAGAGGCGGAGCGAATACAGAACGAGCGAGAGTGAAAACAAAACGAGTGCGGCACGCGCTCCTCAGCTCGCGCCCTGCCCTGGTCAGCATCCCGATGGTCCGCGCCGCCCAGGCCTCTCGGGGAGCCGCAGCCTGCCACGGCCTGCCACGCGGCCGGCTGCTGACCACACGCCTCCGGCGAGGCCCGGTCGCTCGTGCCCACTCGCCCGTGCCCGCTCCCCTTGCCGCGGCACGAGAGCAGGCCAGGGCTCTCCCGACCTAGGGGTCGCTCCCCCCCCCCCCCCCCACATGTATTCTTCCAGGGAGGCGGCCGTGCGCCCCCCATGGCGGGCCGAGCAGAGGAGGGGCCCTCCATGTCCACCTCAGGATGTGGCTCGAAGCGCCCCGTCCGAGGCTGCGGGAGTGCTCTCAAGAAATCCCGCAGGCTTCTGTCTCTTGCTGCAATGGTTTCCTCTCGTGGGTGCCATGGGGCTCCCAACTACGCCCTCCGCGCGCCACTCTGTGACCCTCTCTGAAAACAGCTATTGTTTGACTTCTTTCATTTTATTGCACGTTGCGCTGCTCCGTCTTCGTACCCGTTTGATTATCCGGCGTGTCGAAATGGTGTCCATGGGATATATTTACGGGGACATGATGTCTCATCGCCTGGCGACGCCTGTGCAGTCGACAACGCGTATCGATCCTGTCGTTGTACTATGATACTCTCTCCACGTCCCCACACGTCTTGTGACACCCTGGCCCATGCGTTCAGTGCCCTTCTGTCCACGCTAAGGTTCTGCGCGCAGGCTCGCCAATTGCAGTCAGGCCGTGTCGTCGTTCTGGGTTCTTTTGGAGCCTGATACGTGCGCGCGTGTGTGCGGTTCGGGCGTTGCGCTGTGAAAGCATTATAGTATCAGTCTCTGAGTTTTCCCAACCATCCTGTGGTGTTGGGTCCTCGTTGTGAAGAGACAGCGCCCCGCGTCTTCTCCTCTCCTCTCCTCCTCCTCTTCCTCCTCCTCCTGCTCCCCCTCCTCCCTCTTCCCATCCGCCTCGTCATCGTCATCGTCAGCGTCATCATCGTCATCATCATCGCCATCGTCATGATCCACATCATCATGAGCATCGCCATTGCCATCGTCAGCGCCGCGCCCCTCACACGGTTCGTGGCCCCACAGGGAGTTCCACCGAAGGCCCCAGTGGCAGGGTCCGCATGCGGAGACCGCCGCCCGTTTTGGCGCACCCCTCACACGGTTGGTGGCCCTGTAGGGAGCTCCACCTGTCACATGGTTCGTGGCCCCATAGGGAGCTCCACCGAAGGGCCCAGTGGCAGGGTCCACATGGCGGCGCCGCACCCATTTCGGCACACCCCTCACACGGCTCGTGGTCCCATAGGGAGCTCCACCGAAGGGCCCAGTGGCAGGGTCCACATGGCGGCGCCGCCCCATTCTGGCGCACCCCTTGCACGGTTCGTGGCCCCATAGGGAGCTCCACCGAAGGGCCCAGTGGCAGGGTCCACATGGCGGCGCCGCACCCATTTCGGCACACCCCTCACACGGCTCGTGGTCCCATAGGGAGCTCCACCGAAGGGCCCAGTGGCAGGGTCCACATGGCGGCGCCGCCCCATTCTGGCGCACCCCTTGCACGGTTCGTGGCCCCATAGGGAGCTCCACCGAAAGCCCCAGTGGCAGGGTCCACATGGCGGCGCCGCACCCATTTCGGCACACCCCTCACACGGCTCGTGGTCCCATAGGGAGCTCCACCGAAGGGCCCAGTGGCAGGGTCCACATGGCGGCGCCGCCCCATGTTGGCGCAGCCCTAACACGGTTCGTAGTCCCATACAGAGCTTCACCGAAGGCCCCATGGGCAGGGTCCGCATGGCACCGCCGCCCCATTCCGGCACATCTTTCACACGTTTCGTGGCCCCATAGGGAGCTCCACCGAAGGCCCCGGTGGCAGGGTCCACATGGCGGCGCCGCAACACACCCCTCACGCGGTTGGTGGCCCCATAGGGAGCTCCACCGAAGGGCCCACTGGCAGGGCCAGCATGGCGGCGCCGCCCCATTTTGGCGCACCCCTCGCACGGCTCGTGGTCCCACAGGGAGCTCCACCGAAGGCCACAGTGGCCGGGTCCACATGGCGGCGCAGCACCCATTTCGGCACACCCCTCACACGTTTCGTGGCCCCATAGGGAGCTCCACCGAAGGCCGCAGTGGCAGGGTCCACATGGCGGCGCCGCCCGTTTCGGCACACCCCTCACGCGGTTGGTGGCCCTGTAAGGAGCTCCACCGAAGGCCCGGCTTGAGATATTTTTGAATCACAAACGTTGCGCTCTGGTGCGAATTAAGACCTATTAGCTTCAACTAGTTCGGTTAGCTTTGGCCTGGATGCCCTGTTCTTGAGTCCAGCCCGACACATCCCCGCGCATCCCAGCCCTGCCAAACCAGTCGGTCTTGGTAGTCCAGCTCCGCCCAGCGCACTGCGGTCGAGCCCCGCCGTCCTGGCTGGCCCGCTGGGGCGGGTCAGTGTCACCACACTGGGTTAATGTCATGTCATCCCGATTCCCCTGCGGACAGGGGTGGCGAGGTCTAGCTAATGGGCGTGGTCATCGCAGTGGCATTGCGGGAGTGAATCCGAACCCCCGGAAGGCCCCCAGCTCCATGTGGCTTGAAAACGTCCACATGGAGTAGGCCACGAGGGCCACACCGACTGATCAATCAGACCTCTAAGGAACCCTCGTCCGAGCTCTGCACCTAGAGTTTTTTGCCTTCTTGGCCGGCCTCTGCTCTTCAGTGGGCTGCGCCGTCGCCGCGGCGGCGTGCGGCGGGGTCGCCTCGGCCCGCGGTTTCTTGGCGACTGGCTGGTCTCCCAATGCCGGGGCAGCGCCCGAGCTGGGCGGAAGAGCGGCCTGGCCGGACGCGCCCGACACCGGCGCGAGCTTGCGCTTCGCCTCCACCGAGCCTTGTAAGTGCACCCTGGTGTAATCCGTTCCCAAGGCCTCCTGGAGCTGCGTCCTGGACAACTGGTCGAGAATTGTGGCCTTGATGAGCGCGTGCTCGGACGCCCGGAAGTTTGGCGGCAGCTCCAGCCGCTCCAGATCGCTGTCCGGCACGTGGCAGGGCGTCACATTTGGATGGTTGTGAGCGCCCACTGCCCGAGGTGCCTCGGGGAGCCAGGGCAACCGCAGGAGGTGGGGCGAGGCGCTCGGGGCCCTCTGCGAGCCTTCGTCGGGGTGCTACGTGGGGTCAAGAGGGCCCAGGAGCGACCCGAAAGAGCCCCAGGAAGGCTCCGAGAGGGACCTGGCACCCGGCATTTTGAGCAGCTGTCAAAGTGCCGGGTGCCCAGACAGCCAGGAATGCTCCGGACAGCCCAGGAGCGGCCCAAAAGAGCTCCAGGAATGCTCTATGAGTTCTTCAACATCATCCCAGCCCTACCAGCTGGACGCTTACACCCAAGTGGTCCAACTGACCCCAACTGGTGCAATCGATTGCCGGCCCAGATTTGCGCCCGCACTGTAATGGCGGGACAATGCAACGCGCAGGAGGATACCTTCAGGTACGGTTGGACCTCCTCTGATGCGAAGGCGTGCGCCGCCTTCGCCGTCGACCTGCGCGCGGGCACCATTGCTGGCGCCCTGGGAGGCCCAGGTTCCGCCGATGAGTAACCGCGACGGCAGGCGGGCTTCTGAGACAGACCAGGGATTTCAGAGGCTTCTAGGCAAGGGCTCCCTCGAGGGCGCGAAGTTATTCGCGCTTCGCGCTTCGCGGTCCTCGTTCCTTCTCCCCTTCCTCCTCGTCCTCCTTTTCTCCCCCTTGGGGGGCGGCGCGAGAGCGCGAAGTTATTCGCGCTTCGCGCTTCGCGCAGCGCGAAGCGCGAACTTAGGAGCCCTTGAGGAAGGCGCCCCCGTGGGCAGGCGGAGTCCCCAGAACCGCGCGTTTTCCGACGTGCCCCGGATGCCATGGTTTTTTGGCCCCGAGCCTCTCACATCGGCAGCATCCTTGCCGAGCTCGAAAGCGCGTTCCGCGCGGGGCCGGGCAACCTTGTCGAGATTCTCCTGGGGGACGCGCTGAGGTCCCAGGTGTCGTT